AAAATCAAATGCAAAAAAAAAAATAGGAAGATTCTGAGCTGTAAGCTTTAACTATCCCTTTAGATGTGTTGTAATAATTTCCCGTATGCAGAGTGAATTAACTGGATAAATATCAGCTGATACTGATAGTTTAATGTTTCTGGTAGTTATACCTCAATGTAATAGCATGGAAATGAATTATCTATCCACTGTTTGGTTGCAGATGAGTGTTGGAGGTCAGTTGTTCAAAAGAGTTGGGGGAGAGGTGTTTTTTATCTTTTTCTCGGCCGTGTATTTTGGGGTCCTGAGCCAAATTTTCAACAACAGCAGTTTATTTACTCTTGGTGCAGCACTATCAAAGAACTTGATTTCATAGTCAGAACCTTTGAATTATTTTGGATATGGTGATGCATTTCCAATTTTTTTGCTGTTTTAGGCTTGTAGAGCTGTAAAGTGGCATGCCATTTGACTGACCACCTGCTGTGTTCCTCGGCAGAGTCTGGTCCTCGGCAGCATTGCCCACGTAAAGTCAGCCAACACATTTTTATATTTATGAGTTAGTACCGTGTAAACCGAACAACCTTTTTGGGAGCAGGTGAGGGTAGTTATTGTTTGGGATAATGGTTAGAGTTTAAAAAAAAAAAAAAGCTTTTTTAGGTGCCACTTCCTTAATTCAAAATTCTGGGGGGTTTGGGGGTTCCCCCCCCCCCAGGAGAGCTGCCATCACTTAGAACAAAAGTTGCATTGCAAGTTGAATCTTTTAAGATACTTAAAATTATTCAGTGAGCTCATTTGCTATAGAAGACACTCAGAATCTTCTTCTTGGCAGGTAATTTAAAGCACACAAAAAAGAGCTTGTTTAAATTATTTGCCAGTTTGAACTCCACACATGCTCAGTGAGTGGCATGGGATCTTAAGCAGGGAACTGGTTTAACTTTTCTAGGGCTTTTTTGTTCACCTGTGCCAAAACTGAATCGGAATACCAAGCAATAGTAATCAAAGAAACAGGAAGAAGTAAAGCTAGTTTTTTTAATGTGATGTAAACCGTTAGCAAAGTTGAGGGACCATGTCAGCTGCTACTACTACTACTCAAGTGATTCTCCATTTGCTGGCATTTGAAGAGGCGAATACTGTCATCTAGGACCCTCAGAAAGTACAGCAACAGATGATAAAAATCTTCCACTAACATACATGTGTAGGTACAACCGTGTTTAAAGTTAACTCCATTTTAATTTGTTTTTTCTTTCTGAGGTGAAAAAATCGGCAGATGGCCAAAAAGAGTGGAGCAAAAGGAAAGATGCTGAGCATTTTTGACACTAGCTTTATCGTTGCTTGTGCTTTTGTGTCAGTAATGCATATTGACCGTGTTTGCTGTCCTTTACCGGTAAAAAAGCGAGCCTGTGCCTTCATTATCAAATCCATTACGAAGTAAGTGGACGCTGGATATGGATCCCACCAGATGCAGCTTTTGAAACTGCAACATTGAAAGCGAGTTTCTGGAGATGATTAAAAAACCATGGCCACATCACTTCCACAGCGTTGGTTGCCAAGTTTCCTTTTTAGCTTCCCCGAGCCTGTCCTTCCCATTTGAAAAAAAGAGAAATAAAAGCAGCTTTTGCTGGGCAATCATTAAGTTTAAAGGCCATTGAAATCTCTCAGATGAGATGAAAGCCTCGTTCCCTTGCTGCATGTTTAGGGCAATCTGTACGGTCAGAAGAGTACGGCTTCCAGGCTGCTGATGGAACTCTGTGGGACACCCAGACAGACGCGTGATTCCTGGTACGGGAGTACTGGTGCCAGGCGGGGGGACAGGGAGAGGCAGGAGGGAGGGACTGAGGAGGGAGCAGCCCTACACAGGCTGTCCTGGAGCGGGGTGGCGGGGCGGACTAGCTGGCTGTCCATGGTGACGTTGTAACGGCGTGCACTTTACTGTCGGTTGATGAAGAATATTTGTGGTTATAAACGTACGTAGCACAGGGCACTCTTCTAGAATAACAGGTTAGATCAAGAGGGAAAAGCAGTTGGAGCAGTTTTCTCGGACTTGTAAACGATCCATTTTCTGGTTTCAGGATAGTAAAATAGATCAATTTTTCTCCAGTACGAGTCTCAATTTATTTTCTTTTTTTTTTTCCAGAAAGAAAAACAAAGCAAAACTTGAACTAGCAAATCATTAAAGTTTAGGGCCATAATTGCTTATTTGAGTGTCTTCGGAATTGCATTTTTCTGTTCTTGTGGTAGTTGATTACATTCAAGCCCCCAAATACTGCGTAAGGGGAGGGAGGTAGTTCTGTAACATTCAATATTCTTCCTCAGGTAGTGGAAAGATGCTTAATTTAATTTTTAATTACCTCCTCCCTCCCAAACAACCACGTGTAAGAGACTCTGCTCGGACACAGAACATCCCGCTGCCAGCAGTCTGACAGCAAAACACCGAACGGTTCTCTCCTGCGTGGGATCCCTCCCACGCCGCCTCCAGCTGGAAATCCCTCGAGAAACCTTCGTTTGGCTCTGTTCTAGCAGCAGACACAAAACGGTGGGGGCTTAAA